GGCCGCCGGCACGAGTCTGGTGGCTCTGTTGGCCGCTGTAGTGCCCCTCAGCAATCCCGCACACAGAGCCCAACGAGCTGTCGGGATTTACCCGCCGCCAGAGGCCGTGAACAAGCAGGAGGAGATTCTGGATAACTGGCTCAACAAGAAAGTAGAACCCACGAAGAAAACCATTGATGACATTATGGGCAAGAATGGTAAGCCTCATGGGTGATGGTTGTTTTTGCCCCCATCTCCACCACAGTCATTATATTTTTGCGTTTTTCCTCCTGTGTGTGAACCCTGTTTTTGCGTACCGCCTAAAGAAATGGGGGCAGAGCCACTTTATTAATACAACAACCTTATTTGCGCAGCATAACTGCCTAATTATTTCGTAGAAGTAAACATGCTTGATTTTAGTTATGTTTATAGGCGTCCTTTGTGTCAGAACAAAGGTCGGACATAGTCCAACTTCGGCAATCATAATTCCTGTGCCGTATCACAGTATCGCTACAGCGTTTAAGGAAAAGAGTCAGCACAATTCGAATCGTCGCAAACGCACAGTGAGACACCGGTAGGTTTTAGACTACCGGAAGGGGCAGAAGTCGAAAGGGGAGAGAGAGGTGCTTGAGAGATGTCTTACCGCTCATCAAGATTTTGTTTTGTTCTGCATGGTTTATAGTTAGTTCTGTAACCGTCCCGTTACGTAGCTCGATGTAGATACTTAAAAGCAACACTTTCATTCCTTTCTTTGCAATTCGACCTGACAAATAAGCTTGTTGCATCTAAAACATGTTCTCTATGAACTGGAAGCGAGCCAGCCTAAAGCCAACTGGTGTTGACGGAGAATTCTACAAAAACATGGGGCGAAATACCACCTTACTATTATTTGTGCTATCAGTCTCTCTAGCCCTTCGGTAGCGGCCCGCATCTTCGCGCCACTGTGGCGTTATTCCGGACTTTGCTCCCCTAACTAGAATCCGTGAAATTGCCGAGCTACGTATCGTTTTTTAGGTCCTCTGTGGTAAAACATTACATTTCTGCCCGTCAGGTATCATAATGTTAACTTAACTACTGAATCTTCGAAAGTAGCACTTTATTTATTCTTTATTTAGCAGACTTTATTTAGTCTGCTGGTGTCGGGCTGTAGCACGCACAGG